CCGGCACGCCGTATAGGATAATATTATCACGTCTGCTGAACGACTCTAACTTGTCCAGTTCATCATCAATACTTAGAAACCGAGAAAACACAAGTTCAAGTTACTCTTTGAGGGTCATTCTCATGATCCAGCACCTTTTGTTTTAGGGTCCCAGTTCACTGGAGCGAGATAATCCCCTACAACAAAAGGTGCGCTTTTATTTTCTTCCCTATGATAATAGCAATATGATAATCGTATATTTTAATCGGCACAACCTACATGCGTTTTAAACTCTATGTTCTATACACGTACATCAAATGTGTTCAAAGCAAACTGAGTAACTCTTGCTGTAACATTTCTGTATAGTTGCTTATAGCAGCTCAACACTACCACCCAAACGTACCTTAATGGTCATGATGGCGTCTTTCGGTCGTTCTAATACCATCTTCGTCATGCTTGCGGTTTTGACCCAGATGATGTAGAGGGCATCATAGGAAATGACAACTACAAAATGTATTTCAAATAGGCCCGTATGGAGCAACAGACGTATCCAAGGCAACAAACCTGATCTTTTACGTTTTGATAAAAACAATGGAATTATTTATCATTTGACAGTAATGTGATTAAAGGCTAGAATTAATGGATGTCATTTTCTATTTTTTCATGGACAAGACGTTCCGGAGTATATTCTTACTCCCTCATGAGGTGAATGAAAGACTGGGAAACAGACAGCTCTATGTGAAACAACAACGGTGATAAGATAACAAGGGGAAGCCAGTAGTTAATTAGCACTAAACTGGGAATATTCCAGTATTATCACAGCGGGGAGCATCAGAAATGGGCGTCACATACCCATGTGGGGAAGTGAACCCGGGTCTTCGGCGTGACGAGCGAATGCTTTGACCACGGATACCCAACCGCCCCATACATTGAGGGAAATATATATGTCCCAGTTGTCAGTTTCTTCAGTCTGTGGAGATGATGTGTACAATGCTCAGACTGTTTAAGAGAAGGGGCGCTTAAAACGGAAAGGTGAAATGGATATCAAATCTCAGATTCTAGAATCTCGAAATATTTTTAATGCTTGAAACCAATATGCTTATTTATTAGGTCTGTTTTGCTGGATGCTTATATTCATATCCCTAGTTTGCATAGGCGAAGAGGAGAATACCCGCAGAGTTCCAAATTACGTTTCATTATCAACATATGGTCAAACATGACCGTGTAGTAGTGAGTTTGGAAGTGAGAGACTGCATACCTACCCTGAGTCGTCAGTCAGTTGTACAGTGACATTTCCATCTGGAGATGCAGCTTGACAGTTCCGAGGCTGAAAGAACGGATTGACGATGTCATCCCCTGGAACAAGAAGATATTCTAAAACATGGAGAAAGACGACACGTGTCTTCAAATTCATAGGTGTGTTTTCCAATCTCCCTGAACCTGTCCTGCATTTGGATATCTCTCCCTGATTGAGATTTATCTACATACCAGGTTGAATAGCACACCCATATTGTCAACAGTGACTGAGGGCAGGTCTTGTGGCAGCTAGGTCAAAAGGTGAGCTCATAATGTGATTATAAGCATCAATGGTCGTTATTGGTGTTCATATCAGTGCAGCCATAGACTATATCTTCCTGGTGGTAATATCAGGAACAGTTAGCTGAAAGGGCAGATAGCACTCTTTCATAACCTGAAACGTGTTTAACCTGGGATTAACAACATGCTTGATTTACTCAAACCTTCTGGAAGCTTGACCACCAGTCTGACTGGAACACCAAGGCTGACATTTGTGACCGGTTCCAGAGTGTCAGGATCTGCTAGGTATGTCCGGGGACTGACCCTAGTCTGTGTGGCAGCTGTTACGGTCCGCTCTCGAATCCTGAAACATGTAAACTGATTCAAAGCTTCATTCACTATAACATTATTTACTCCAAGCATTCAAACTGTTTTATTTCGTATGGACTATGATATAATACCTTCTCTCCACAAAATCAAACATTAACAACAACAACAAAAACACAAGAAAACCCCACAAAAAACATTCAGCAACACACGGGGCCACTCACATAAGTGGGATCGTACAGAAACAAAGTGGAACATAATTATGTATCTTCAGACACATTTTCTCCACGCACTGGAGAGTTACAAAAAATACATACTCCTCCATCCCTAGTCCGCCAGTGTCATCGTATGTAGCATCAGCTTGCGACAGATCACACACGAGTTGAACTTCGTCATCTTCAAACGACACCACGCCACTTTTCTTCTGATGTCTGAAGGTCCACTTCAGTATACCCGTTCCAACCTTGTGTTGTATGAACACAAAAATAACCACAATGAAAATACGCCTTTAGGGTTTTCCTCATTCCATTTCAGTTTATGGTTTCTCATTGATCGACTAGCAGAACAATATGGACGTTAGAATTAGCTCATTGGGACATGTTGTAGACGAATACAGTTATATTCTGTTGTTATATACACAACTGATATACACGATTGATAGTACAGTGTTACACACACGCGCGCGCTCGCACGCACACTCACACACATTGATTTGAAGGTACAGTATACCCTGGTTATAATGCCACCGTTTGTCCAGGAGAAAATATGACATTATATCCAGGTTGGCATAATAGGCAGGTAGGACAGCTAGAGGCCCTATGCAATCAACAAGGTGATTGAGCTGATGTCTCATGTAATTAACATTAAATGACTGGATAATTCCAGCATCTAGGGACTGCAGGTGACTTGTTGTAGGTGGCAGGAAGTGTATTGTCACATGTGTTATCCAATCAGGGATTACAAGACTACTTAAAACATTAATGGGTTTGGTCAAGTAATTTGAGTTATGTCAATTAACCAATTAAGGTATGTATTCTACATGCAGCCAGTGTAATTGGCATTATAACCAGGGAAAATGACTTTGAATAACTTTTGTTCCAAAACCTTTGGCGAATGGCATTATATCCAGTGTGGCATTATAACCAGGGTATTATATAGGCAGGAATTCCGTTCTGGCATTATGGCATTACCAGGGGCATTATAACCAGGGTGCACTGTATGTGTTTTACACTACGTTCTTACTGTTTCTACAGGACAATCCGATTCCCAAACTCCCGACACGTTTCGAATCTGTACATATAAAGCACGAGAGTTAAACTTTCTTTTGTCACATCTGGGACTGATCTCCCCTTCAGTGTTCACGGCTCCGAAGTTCGTGAAAGGGATGCTTTTCTGGTCCAAGGTAAGGTTCAAAGAATAGCCTTCCCGTTCTTTCATACAGTAGAAGGACACTGCAACCACACAATGAAAACATGCAATGTAATACCTCACCATGACAAATCAGGATATCAGAGTACTTTTATGAGTGAGTGAGTGATTTCGGTTTGTCGTCTCTGTTACATTACCGCGTGTCTGTTTATTGTCGGAGGGAAGCCCGAGATAAAGCACGTTTGAGCGAGTTGCTACTTTGGTGGAAACCACCAGCACGGACGTTGAGCTCACAGAGCTAAAAATCTAATCGAGGCAAAGACGGGCTCCAGTCGCCGATCAAAGGTTCCGAGGTTTAGGAGAATTCCAGTGACCCACACGTGAGCCTCGCGCGGGAACCGGACATTATGATGACTTATTTTAGGTGCCTCTAAATTATGGGTTACTGAAAATTCACGTCTATTATCAGTAAGTCATAGGTTTCTAGTTTAGGAGAACTAAGCAGATCATGTGGGACTTTACTTTTTGCCAATTCAGAAATGTTAACCCTTAAAATATGTTTCTCCTGTCGTGATTTCACTCATGCATATATGCATCTTGTCATGTTCATGTTTGAGCATGCAAAGTTATTCGTCTAGAATGTATCTTTATACACGTATTCACCAATAACTGTAGAAAAGAACTTGCTGTGAAAAGATCGTATTGAATCTAGAGAATTAATAAAACTTGAGTTGGAGAAACATATTCTTACCTTCAGGTTTGTCTATGCCTGGAAAAGAAACGTCAGTCTCGGTATAAATGTTAACCATATTTTGGAGCATCAAGTACAATTTCATAATGTATGTATTTAAAATCCAATAATACTAGACTGGAACACTGTCATTTGTATATCTGACAATTGATATGGACGTCCGTTTTATCTTTGTGTATTGTGTTCGTCCCACCCAGTCCTTGACCAGGGACATGGCGAAAAGTTGGACACATATACATTCTCTGGGGCTTCACCTTCAATTACTGAACAGTTGTCAAATGTCTGAACTACGAGACACCTAAACATAACATAAACCTATCTAATGCTTTGTAAAACAAATCTATTTCTCAAACGTTTTTTCCCTAACATATGAACATCGGAAGCTCTGTATATCTACACAACAGTCGTAATTCAAAACCATCTGATTGGTACTTCCGGCTCATCAATCACTTGATTGTCCGGTTTGTTGACAGACCACTGTAGCATATCGGAGCGTTGCTGTGTGGTGTCTGGCAAAACAGTCGGTTGGACTGGACATTCTTACCCGTTTCAAGAACACCTGGTGTCTTGTATCAATGATTTTCAGTCAGTGTGAAACACTAGTCCCATCGGTTACATCCAGGTCATTATTTTAAACTTTCCACACTTGAGAAGATTTTTAACCATTCTACAGTCAATAGCGTGTGTAGGATCCGTGAGAATTAATGACTACATTAACTCTTCTCGACATGCTACGTATCAGTCTCTGCTGCATTGTCCTATTTCCTCATAGTTCCATGGAGAAAGGAAAAACATCAGCCAAGCATGTAAACAACTTAATATCCTCTCATGAACGTTTTTTTTCCGTATGTTTCATCTATCTCCTCTATTTATATGACCTACTGGCAGCCTTTGACAGTGTACCTCACATATTCACGGATGTGAACTTCACGAACTCTCTAAAAGGTTTACAAGACCTAATTGTGATAAGGCTAATAATCTGTAATATGTTCAAATCCACTTTCAAGTCCTGATATTAACCCTGACTCCATGAAAGCCATTATCTGCATCCGGTTGATGCTCTGAATCTGTGACCAGCCAACGATACATGTTAGTTTAGCACACTGTTTGGAGATTTGGACAGAAATGCAGTTGCTTACTCTGATCACTTGCTTCGCCTATATATCCAACGCTGTTCACTCAAGAAGATATCAAGGTATGAATAAGGTGTTATTTGCCTGCCAACTTTAACCTGATTCATTTGTAATGCTTCATTTACTTTGCACGAAAAATGGCGAAATGAAGCACTCGCGTCTGATAGCAATAATTTCAGATATTTAATGATCGAGAAGAGTACTAAACATCCCCTAATTATCCTTCAAACACTACTTGAAGTAAGCTTATTGTTCAATTTGAAATAGTTCATAGTTATGTTTGAAAACCGTTGAATTTGTGAACGTTACCTGGAGACCGTACATGTACGTGTATAGCAGCCTTGTGGGTACAGCACAATGTCATGGAAGGCCTTGTTCCTTTTACCAGAATGTCCCGAGGACTGGACAAAGGGCGAATGAGAAGTGCTACAAGTTTCTTAATGAACATGTTGACTGGGATGATGCGTCTGGAAGATGCAAACGACGCTTTTCTGCTGCACTTGCCGTGATTGACAACAAAGAAGAGAACAAAGTCGTTGAAGGTATATTGAAATGAGACTTAATATGGAAGTTGACGTCATTATCGCCAAACACACAGATTCTGCAGACTTGTTAATCATGTAAGAAGTCAGTTACCACTAAGGACATAGGGGTTGCGTGTTCAATGTGGAGTTATGTAATTTCTCTGAATGTAACACCGTTAAACTTGCTGATGTAATGTAGAAGTATAATTACTGCAGGTACCATAACTCTACATTGGAAACAACCCGTGAATGTCCGGGTAAGAATATTGATCATCAGTAACCCATGCTTGTCGTAAGAGGCGACTAATTGGATCGGGTGGTCAGGCTTGCTGACTTGGTTGACACATGTCATCTGTTCCGAATTGCACAGATTGATGCTCATGCTGTTGATCAGTGGATTATCAGGTCCAAACTCGATTATTTACAGACCGCCGCCATATAGCTGGTATATTGCTGAGTGCGGCGTAAAACTAAACTCACTCACTCGCTCGCTCTATTGGAAACACATCAGACCTATCTGCCACACTGGCACCACTCTACTATTGTATGCTATTGACGATAATGATTGAAGTGGTGTGGGACGAGAATAGTGCTGACAATAGGATGTATGTTTGATGTAAAGAAAACAATGATAATACAGATCACAATCTCGCTGTTTGATCTACATTCTAGAAGCTGGTGAGACAGTAATAGACTTAAGCATTGGACTTTATATATTACAACTTCTTGTGGTTTACACATAGAGTGATGTTAAACTTAAAAACGGTGCAAGAATCTACACCGAAACATCGCTCAATGCAAATAAACAAGAAGTAAAGTCCTGTGATAAAGTCCGATGCCTTATGATGATCTCGCTGTAATGAGCTGAACATCATATTTTATTTGCTTATTGAAGATGCTTTAGAATTGTGTAGCAGATGCATCGGAAGCCAGTATAGACTAGTTAGCGAGACAAATGATAAAGCAAGCCTCGCAAGGATTTTTTCTATACCGCAAAAAACATGTAATGTATATTACACCGTTCATCTGGACGCCGACAGTAAGATTTCACAGTCCGTGATTGAGGCGCAGAAAATGTCATCCTCCATGTTGTCAGCTTGAACTGCATTCTCAGCACAAGCTTGATTTGCACATATTGCTGTGGTGTCTGTATTTTGTAGCCAACAACCTTCCTAATTTCAGAATGCCACTTGACAATCAATACCGGAAGATGTACTTTTTCTATGAATCTGCAGTGGTCAGGCCGATACATTAGTTGCTTTAGCAGGAGAGTTTTAGTAATAAGAAACCTCTGATTGCCAAATAGTCTACTTCGAAACATGAAACAAAATCATAGATTCATCGTAGGATTGAGAAGACCTGATATCTTTGGTCGTTGGACACATTTGTAAATTATAAAGCCACTGCCGAGTGGTACACACATGTCCTCCATGGCTTGGGTGGTACATATATCCCCCACAAACTTACCCTCCAGTAACAGAAACATGAAGCTACTCTGACGTTGTTCAAATACGTGTTCCTAATTACGTACAGTTTTCATTTGAAAATAATTTCCTTTTTCTAGATCTTGCCCACGATCACACGCACGCATGGATTGGTTTACGTCGCAGATACGGACCGTTTGAGTGGAATGAGAATTCTAGGGTGAGAAAGAAAGTTCATAACAAAAGTAATCTAAACAACTGTGTTTGGAAATTAGATGAATGTTAGACCGAATTGATAGTCTCTAAATTTCATTTGAAGCGGAACGCGTAGCTTGACGTTTCAAATGATTAATTTGATAATCATATTTTTATAATCATAACTCCACACGGCCGAAGCCAGCCTATTGTTTTATGTGCCGTGTTACTGTACCCCCCTGGCCACACTATAATGGAATCGTCTGATCTACTTATTTTCTTGGAAGTAGACAGTTACGCAACAGTTTGAAATGGCGGACGAGCCAGCGTTTACATTTTGCGAAAGGTTGAAATTCGAAGTGACAGTGGAAAATACTTGGGCCAAATACTTGACTGACTTTCGAATCTGAACCCTGCAGAATCGAAGAATAGATCCTTTTCTGATCGACCTACGACCTGTAACTCATCAAAGACTGTTGATTTTTATGACCGGCGAGTGTCGATCATGATTTCACATAACTGCCTCCACCCCGGCATGTGACGAAAGAGTGACAGTGCTGCTTTGTGTACATGGGATTTCTTGGAACATTGGGACTGGATTGTGGCCAAGTTTTTTTCAAAGTATACGAACATGACAGCCTTGCAGGGAAGGTGGCAGAGAGCGGAATTCTCATGGTTCAGTTTTTGATTTTTTGAACGATGCAACGAGACAGGATGGAGTATGAATGGCATAAATTTTGTTTTTCGCCTGACCGTTATCTTGCGAATTTTCCATTCTAAACGGAAACAAATATACCATTTACCAGGTAGGTAAATGTTTACGAACATTTTGCTGCACAAATAGGGATTTGTTGGGGCTGTGTATTGTAATTGAGTTTGAATATTTTTTTATAATAGAAGGTAATAATTATGATAGTTCCCCAATAATTGAGGAGGAGAAATCGTATAATTATATTCTTCGAGTTTTAATAAATGTTTTATCAACCTTTCCATCACGTCTGTTGTGTTGATATTAGTCATGTTGTGGCCAAGCTGAGGTAGTGCGGCAGTGATGTATACGTGCGCAGTGAAGCGCCGTGAAATCAGACGCATTGTCAATCCAAAATTGATACCGTCTGATTTTATTGACTAACCAATCAAATTCGAGCATTTCACGTAGCCATGGAATAATGTACTAGTTTGATTTCAATACATCTCACTGTAAACTGCCAAAATTGTAGAGACACTGAAGACATTGATGAATATATATTGTCACAACATGTTCGGCGTTGTGACAGAAGCGGGATGAGCGGCTAGCTCTTCATTATTGACTTCGTGTGTTTAAAATCTTCCTTTAAACAAACCTACACCACATGATCCTGATGCAAAACATAACTGTCTTTCCTCTACTAAGCGCTGATAGATTTGTTCGTGGTTGTCTAACGCTGCAGCAATATGGCGAGTTTGACGACATGATCCTTTGAGCCGTCTCTAGTGGCAAACATGGGTTCTGAAAACCAATTCTAACACTCACAGGGATATGCTTACGAACCAAAATGCAGATAATCCGGCTTCGATAAGTGAGTCAGCTAAATGTGAGGCATCAGTTACCAAAAAAAACAACCATGAGTGAATTTAGTTTCTTACGCTGCTTTTAGCAATATTCCAGCAGTTTCACGGCGCGGGACACCATAAATGGGCTTCACCCATGTGAGGAATCGAGCCAGGGTCTTTAGTGTGACGAGTGAACGCTTAACGACTAGGCTACCCCACCTCCCTAAAAATCATGAGTGCGGCAATTCCCTATTTGCCTATTTGCTATACCTGATATTTGATTTCAAACAAACAATTGACTTGCTTTTGCATGTTTTGTAAAGGGACCCATTGTTTGGGCAACAAACGCTTACCTTTTCGTGAACACCTGGTGACCTCACCTACAGACGCTTTTGATATAGTCAGAATCGACAGTTTTAGCAGAGATTCTTTATGAACATATAAAATAGCGTTTTGTCGTGTATATTTCATTAAATGTTTCAGCAGATCGATAGAAAAAAGACGGAAGGATGGATGGGTAGGTAGGCGGGTAGGTAGAAATGATGGTTGGATAGATATATAGACAAGCAGGTAAATAACTACATATCAATGCACAAAAGAACTCACTGTCATGATTTATTTTAGTTGCAGGTCAAATATGTTAACTGGCGGGGTGCTTCTCAACGATACTTGAAGAAGTGCGCAAGGATCCGCGGCTATGATGGCTTTTGGGTGCCTTCCTATTGCTCGGACGACTCCCCTTATGTATGTTGGAAAAAAACTGGTAAGGACCTTACGTCTGTGTGGTTCGAAGCATCAGGCGTATTCAAACCAGAACAGAACAAATAAGAGCTACTTTAAGGTCCATGAAGTGTCAATACCGTATTTGTCTTAAAAAGAATTACGGAACCAGTTTT